GCTATTTTGCATGGCAAAACATTAAATTTTAGTAAAATTGGCATAATTTCTGGTAATTTTTGTCTAAATTTTGCCTGAACAAACCAAACTGACCAGTGTTTAGAGATTTGCAAGAAATATATGACATTTTAAATTTAGGTGGCACATCACCTATACCTTTCCTATTTGAGTGCTAAGCCAACCCCTAGCTCAAACTCATCTTAATATTAATTATTTCAATAATGCATTACAATTTGGGTTGAGGTTTTGAACTGTGACATCTATAACCCTGGCACTACTAATAAGCAAATTCACACACAATAGCTGTAGAAGTTATTATTCCTGTGATATAATTTCACTATTTTTGCTTATATGTGAAATCATAGATCCTACTATGGCAAAATCTGCGGAATTAACTCAATGTGAATACCATATTTACTTTATTAGAAATGCATGCTTTTATGTGAATAATGGAGGTCAAAATAATAATATAAATATTTCAATGATCAAGTATACAACAAATGCAATTTTTGGTTTATGTGCGCGTATTGGAGATACGAGTCTAGAGTAAATACATGTAATTACAATAGATGTTTTCATAGGTAAACAATAGGTTTTCATAGACTTTAAAAACCTGTGCTAGTTTTCTGAGTATCAAAATATATATCGACATCGATACCCATAAAAATATGTTAAACATTAGATACACAGTTATCCAATCATTATCGTTCTTTTTCATTGTTGTAGTGCTGCATTAAAAGTGGAGCTACGAGACGAGACTTTCCCCACGTCTGATTTTCAAAATGTTCATGGTAAATATGTCGTCACATGGGATCGTCTAGCGCCAGGAAGCAATGTTTCCCATACAGTCATCGTCCGACCCCTCCAAGCTGGTTTCTTTAACTTCACTGCAGCTACTATTTCATATATACCACAAGAAGATGCACAGCCACAGGTAAGAATGCTTATTTTCGTACGATGTCGGTGCACTTGTTTAGACTCTTGTGGTCATGGAAATAGATTTTTTTGGCATACAGTTATTCATTGTAGATTCTTACATCTAAATCAATAGTGATGGTGTTGCACACGTTCAAGCCTCGCACCGTGGCCATTTTTTTCAATAGTTAAATAACATCTCTCACCAGTTCTCAATCTTAAAAACATGACAAATGCTAATTATAGTTTGTAAAATAATTGTTAGATTCACAAAATTACTTGGACAGTGTACACATGATAAGGGGAGAGTAGGAAATCAAACTGGCGGTTCACCGCGGCTCTCAGAGGTACACCGGGGAGAGCCGCGGACTGCTTATAATTAGGGGTCTCTACCACGGTGGCCACCGGTACCGGTTGCAACCGCAGTCTTAGGAAAGGTGTGAAATACGTACTTAACAGTTTCCTTTGTGATTCCATGAGTCTTTGTTTCAAATAGCTGTTTTTAAATCGAGCAGGTTACGAGCATCGCTGGCATGGAAATACTAAGCATATGGTAATATTATCGGCCCACGTATTTTATTAATATAAAAATCCATAAGTCCAATGCTGTATACGAATTGTTGTTGCGTGAAACAATGTTGTATTTTATGCATGTATTTATCACCAATTCCTAGAGTAAAAGTTGTAGCTTTCGAAGGTACGAGTATTATGACTCGTCCATACATTTCACTTACGTTTGTTACACTTGAATAAAGTCTACCACATGAAAAGAATGTTATTTACGAAGTTTTAAATAGCGAGTTGAGCGGTCATGTACGTTCTATAAATCTAACCTTGCACATAAATCTTGTATTGACATGTTTTTTTTTTGGTCAAAAACGACGTTGCCTTTCAGTTAACTCTTTGCGAGAGTTTACCGATTTTTTGGCCAAATGTTAAGTAACTATATCGTTTTGCGTCAAACTGGGTGGCCTGAATTGTAATGTCAGTGCGTGAACTCATTGAGGTCATTGCCCATTGCCGCACGTAATTCAAACACGTGGGTATTTGAGTTCAGTCAAAATGTACGCGAATAATGCGATCGAAGTGCGCTGTGAGTTTATTATAGAAAAATTTTACATTACGCATGATATTTTATGTTATTATATGGTTAATATGACATATTCACTTTATTTCAAATAAAATAATTCTCCGATGAGTCACAAGTATTTAAAATATTTTCTCGACTTTCATTAGACACCTGACTCCGGGACCTGACTATCTTTTTCAATGATTTAAATGCGCCCATGTTTATATTTGCGTAATAATTACGAATGCAACGCATTATCAAGTCAGTAATATTTAAATATTCACAGACCCAATAGCCCGGGTTAGTGTCCCAACAATAATAAAAATAACTTAGTTTGCGTAATTATTATACATTGCAAAGTTGAAATATTTAGAGCCCGTGCAATACTGTAAACATATTTGCGTTATTAGAAAAGCAGCACACTAAGTAAACGATGTTGAAATATTCAAAGCCAATACAGAGTTGGATACAAGTTGTGTTATTACAGTATCGCCGGATATAATAACAAATTTACGAGATCGAAACGCGGACCAAGAAAGAAAAGGGTTGCTAAGGTAACGCACCAGTTCAGTGTGTGACTTGGGGTCAAACTTCGGTCAACACACACTTGATGTCAGCATCGTCGCGCAGCAAGTTTCGCAAAGAAGTACTTGAAGTTCAATTGTGTCCCAAAATGATGTCGACGATCACTCAATTGTCGCAGCGCATGTTGTACCAAGTCCATGATACACCCCGTTTCAACTTTGGCTTGCTTTTCCTTCTTAGTGCATGTTCTTGTTCACGTAAATGCGACCTCTCACCAATGTATTAAAACACTTTGAATTTATACTTATGCGTGATTATATTTGGTCTACGCGAAACATTAATCTTTCTAAACATTTTCTGAGACCATGCATGATATATATTCACAAAATAATCATATTTTATATTATGTTGATCTCTACGTCTTTCTGGATCGTTTTGTGATTTTATTCCAAGGCTCAGGCAAATAAAATAATGTCAACTATTATAGACTAGTTTCCTAGCTTTTGGCTCAGCCAAATAGGTTTAATTTTTCATTAGAACTTTGTGATCCTTTTAATTTCCCTAATCTTTGTGTTCATAAATGGTCTTGACAATAAGTGTGAATTGCTGTGCGAGCCCACCGCGGAAGACCGCGGTCAGTCGGCGTCATGGAATCTATGCATAAATTTGCATAAAATGCGGTCGACCGGCGAGCACCCACCACCACCGCGGTAATGACCGTGGTGCACCGCCCGTTTGATTTCCTACTCTCCCCTAACCAATATTGATGAGATGTACTGTTATACTAATAAATACTACTATATATTGTTTATTTGTTCAGTTTGGTTACACCAGTGCACCAGGTGAAGGAGGTATCATGTCACTAAGAGAATATGATAGGAAATTTTCCCCTCATTATGTAAGTATTATTGTCATGACATTTCACAATGGACGATTCTTTTCCCTGCTAGATCCGAGTTATGCATGAAATAGAACATAACAACAGTACAAAGAAAGGTCATAGCAAGGTCATTGGTGTCAAAACTGTATGTGGGATTCAACAAATATGAAACAATTTGAGGGTATTTTAATGGTTAATATTGTGCTTTACGCATTTGATGATAGTCAATGTCGATGAAGTTAGGATATCTCAATGCAATATTCTGACATTGAACTGTAAAAAAAAATTGGAAGTACAATATTAAGTCATTTTATTTTTTCGGCTTATGCGAAATCTCGCAGTAAACGGGAAATTACATATTGAGAGTGTGGATTCGCACTGATTTTCTCATAACTGACAATAGTGCAAAAAAAATTATTTATGTACATAACAAAAAAACAAAAACAAATATATCTGCAATACACAGAATAGATTATAATAAAAGCAGTTATATCACCATGGATTTCTAGAATAAAAGAACCTTTTTATATTAGCTAACCATAGTTCAATATGTTTTGATTACAGATGGATTGGTTGGCGTTTGCTGTCATGACTTTACCTTCAATTGGCATTCCATTTATGTTGTGGTATCGTAGTAAATCAAAATATGAGAAACCAGTTGAAAAGAAATCCAAAAAACATTAATATTTTTTTTTTGTCATGTGGATTTGCAATAAAGTTTAAAAAAATAACTTAAAACAATTTGTCTATTGTTTTCAGTTGTGTTGCAAAGTGTATGAAAGTTTGACCTTAGTGACAGTGAAATAAAATACTGATGTGAAACTGTCTGTCATGTACATAGTGAGCTGGCATACAAGTGATAATGAAATAAATGCAATTAATTTACCTGTATTTACTATATGAGGGGCAGCCATCTTGAATATGGCTTGAAACTAAATAAAGAGAAAAGTTGAGAAAGTTTTCTTGCAAAAATGTGCCTGATTGATTGGCTCTCCAATCCTAACAGTCAGACCAATTAGAGAACAATTTGTTTCTTGCCAAGTTTTTTT